CCGGGTCTCCACACCTGGGGACCCCGTCACGCTGGGTGGCCAGCCTGTGGACTGTCTATCCTAGGGATGTCCAGCCCTGGAGACCGTGTCTTGCTGAGTGCCCAGCCTGGAAACCCTTCATCCTAGGGGTTCCCAGCGCTGAGGATCCTCTGCCCTAGGAGTGCCCAGCTCTGGGAACCTCCCCGTGCTTGGTGTCAAGCCTGAGGACCCCTGTCCTAGGGAAGCTCAGCCCTTGAAATGTCACCCCTCAGGGTCCCCATCCTGGGAGACCTCACCTTGCTGGGTGCCTGTTCCCAGAGACCAGCACACCAGCCAGTTGCCCCTGACCCCTCAAACATGCCTTATCTCGGTGGGGCACCCCAGTGCCACCTCCCTTTCCCTCTGCCAGGGAGACCCTTGAGAACAGCCTACTCCCACCCCAGCCACATGGAGATGGGCCCCTTCTTGGTGCCCCCTGGAGCTGTGTCCACAAATTGGAACCTCTCCAGCCCCCTACACAGGGAGGAAGCCTACCACCCCATTACCTCCTCTGGTCTCAGGGATGTGGGGGGCTGCTGTGGCCCAGGGAACCAAGGGCTCCCTGAGGAGATGTGGCACCAAAGTTGACAGAGGGAGCATCTCTGTGTGCTCCTACTGTGCTCTCAGCTCGGGTATCCCCAGGAGGAGGATGGCTGCTCACCTCCAGCCTTGTGGGCACTGCCAACCCCTCTGACCCCCACCCTCCATCTCTTCCCCAGCAGGAGGAGGAACAACAGAGCCTGCAGAAGAAGCTGAAGGGCACGGAGGATGAGGTGGAGAAGTACTCAGAGTCTGTCAAGGAGGCCCAGGAGAAGCTGGAGCAGGCGGAGAAGAAAGCTACAGACGTATGTAGACATGCCAGCAACTCCTCCACTGCGTGGGTGCTGGACCTCGGGGGCGGGGTGGGGGGGGGCTGAAGGAAGAGGGGGGCCTTATATGGAAAGTCTCCTTGGGGAAGACTATCAGGATCCCATTCCTGCAACAGTGACACTGAACGGGGCTGGGGTGCAGGGCAGGGACTGAACAGATCCTGCTTGAGGTGTGGGAGCCAGGCACTGCTTGGACAGACATTCCTGCCTGCAGGTTTGCGGGCAGATGCTTCTCTGGCTCCCCAAAACTAAAGGGGATGAGCGTCCCATGATACGTCACCAGTCCTCAGGCACCCCTGCAATACTTGTAGGAAAAATTCTGTGGCACTTCCTAAACTGTGGTAGAAAAGCAAAAAAGAACAGCAAAATGAAAAAAGCTCTTGCCCGTGGCCACCTGCTTAGTGCTGGCTGCAAGGAAGGATGCTCAGGGAGGACTCGGTCATTTTGGGGTCTGGTGTGCCACCCTGTACCCTAGGAAGGGCAAGGCCAGGAAGAGTTTTATTTAGTGCTGTGACTGATGTTTCTCCTGGGAAATGGATCCTGCCAGGGAGATGTTAGGAAGGTGTTGAAATTGGCTTGTGCCTGGCCAGGATGAAAGGTGGAACAGCTGTGTGCGGCCACGGAGCCGCTCAGGAGCGGGGTATAACGACCTGCCGTGCCACACAGGGTATTTGACACCCTATAAATAAATCCTCCTTTTGATAGCCAGTCCATCTTTGATGAAAACCAACCCTGGAAACTGGAGGAGAAGCTAAAGGGGAGCTGTCTGGAGCATGGCCAGCAGGGCATGGCCAGGCTTTTTAGGATTGAGAACAAAAAATTTAATCCCAGCTGGTTTATGGAGCTAAATGGGGGAGATGCGTCAAATTTCTGAGGTAGCTGCCAAGGACAGAGGTGAGCAGACAAGGACGAGCAGCAGCAAAAGTCCCTGGCATGGTCCAGAGCCCCCATAGAGCAGCTGGTGGGGCTCCCCAGAGTTGTTTGCTGAACCTGTAGACCTGCCCCAGTTTAGTTGGACACTAAAGCAAGTAGATAAACCTTGAATATCCTGACATGGGACAGGCATGTCAAGCTGGGTAGGGCCATTGCCTTGTGTAGTGAGTCTGTGCTGATCAGACTGGATCCATGCTGGTGCAGGCAAACTCAGTGTGGGCCCTGGCTGAGTGGGGGTTGAATGTCTCCAGTGTGGGGCTCAGAGGAAGAGACAAACAGTGGCATGGAGCAGACATCATCCCTGGCGTGCAGAGTATTTTGCTGCTGGCAGTGGGCTGTGCAACGCTGTCCTGGGCAGGGAGGGTGCATGTCCCTGCTCTTGGTCCACAGCAGGTTGGACAGACTGCAGCTTCGGCCCAGATAGTCTTGTCCCAGCAGGTACTGGGGACAGGAGCCACTGATCCCTCTAGGGAGGGCTGAAAGGGGAGGCATGGTGAAAGAGCAGCACTGGGGAGGGCAGGCTGGCTGCAGAGGGAGCAGTGAGCAGGACTGAGAGCCCGTCACCAACCAGCACAGCTGCCCCAGGTCCATGTTGAAACCTGGACTGGCAGCACCAAGTGCGGGGCTCTGGGAGTCACCATGTCCCTGTGCCAGGGACTTGAACATGTTGACAGCATTAAGTGTCAGGACTGGTGTTATCTCCCCAGGGTGAGACGTAGTGCAGCTCCAGTGAAGTGCAGGGTAGACCCTCAGAGCCCAGCCACCTGCCTGCCTCCCCAGGGATCCCCATGCCCCCCTTGGCTGCCAGGACAGCCTGTGCCTGTGATCACAGACCTCAGCCAGGTCAGGACCCATCTCAGCCATCCAGGTAGGCTTCTGCTCTCAGCAAATTTGTCAACAAATACGTTAAAAGAATGACCGTCCCTCTGCTTTGGCACTGCCCTGCCTCCAGCAGTTGGTGGCAGTGCATTAAGCCCTTGGAGACTGCACTGATGGGTGCAAGGCCACCCCCATGGCACTTGGAGTGGAGTCAGATGGTGGCACAGACCCGGGAACATCTGATCCCTGATTGGCAGCTTCAGGTAGCTGGCAGCCCCTTCCCAGCAGCTCTGTGAAGCCACCATGGCCCCACCGCCTCTTGTACCCAGGAGGGACAGCCCGCAGTGCTCAGGGCACCGGTTACGGCCAC